TATATTATTTGTTTGTTTTTTTGAGACAGAGTCTCATGTAGTCTAGGCTGATCTCAAACTCTTAATTAAACGAAGATAACCTTGAGCTTCTGATCCTCCTGCCCCTACCCCTCAAGTGTTGGGATGGAACCCAGGATTTTATGTGTGCTGGGCAAGCATTCTGCCAACCTAGCCACAGCCCAGCCTTGCTTTCCTTTTTTCAGTTTTTGAGATAGCCTCTTACTTTCTAGCCAAGGCCGGACTGGAACTCACTACATATGTAGTCTAGGTTTGTCTTGAACTCACAAAATCCTCCTGTTTCAGCCTGTTGCAGCTGGGGCTGCAAATATGAGTCACCATGCCCAGTTCTTACCTTTTTTTTTTTTTTTTTGTATTTTTGAGACATGGTCTCTCTGTAAACCAGAATCATTGGCCTCAAACTCTCCACAATCCTCCTCCCCCCTCTCCCAAGTGCTGGGATCACAGATGTGTGTCACCATGCTAGGCTCTTGCTTGGTTCTTTATCATAAAGAGAATGTTTCAGCCATTTACTTCCCAGAGTGAAGCTTCTCTGTAGGTTTTTGGAAGATGGCCTCCTTAACTTGACTACTGGAACCATCATTATTTTTGGTTTTATTGTTGTGAGTCAGACTTTCATGGTGTAGCCCTGACTAACCTGGAACTGTATATGTAGACCAGGCTGGCTTCAAATTCCCTGAGATTTGCCTGCCTCTGCCTCCCAAGTGCTGAGATTAAAGGCAAGTGCCACCATAACCACCCAGCTTTCCAGAACCATGGTGTGTTCTGGGCTTTTTTAAAAGAGCTTTTGACTTTTGCAGCACCAGGGGCCTCTTGCATGCTAAGAAAATGCTCTACCTCCGTGCTGCATGCCAGTCCTCAACATATTGTTGGTGCTTTTACACCCTTTTTATGTGTTGTAAATTCAAATCCCACTGTTCTGGTTTCTGATGAGAAGCCATCATTGTTTTTTAAAAGTGCAGGTCGATGTTGGGGGACATGGTTTAGCCATGGTGTCAGCACCTTTCGAAAGAGTTGTTTATTCAACGTTTGCTCTTTACCTTAGCCCTGTTTGCATGTCGTATTTCCCCTGGGGACTGGGCTGTTTTCTCCGGTTTTCAGACAGATTGCTGCAATGTGTTTGTGACATTCTTGTAGGGCAATCACGTCCGGGCCATCTCTGCAGTCACAGCCCCCTTCTCATTATCTTCCCCGCTTCTCATTATCTGTATCTGTCCCCTCTGGCCACTGAACTTTTCATCTGATAGCAGCAGTTGACGCAACTCACCTGTCTGTCTCACAGACCAGGTTTTTGCCTCTGTGACCCTCTCCATACAAGTACCTACTTATTAACTTCTGTTTATCATGGTGTCCTGGCTTCTCTGTTTTTCATTTAGTTCTTGACTGTTCTGTCAATTTCTCAAGTCCTACGTGTAACTCATGCACCTAATCGACATGGAGGCTGTGTTCCCTTTTCTTATGTAAGCAAAGGGCCCCGTGGTTTCCCCTGGTGTCCCTCCTGTCCCCCAGCACCATGATCCATTATCCTTCAGCCCAAAGTGCTTCCTGCTGTCCTCTAAGACTTCATCTTGGGTTCAGAGCTATTCAGTTCCTTTCCAAGACACGCTGAAAGAGTCCCCTCCTTGCTGAGCTGTGCTTTGGGTCCCAGGCTGAGGTCAGTCAGCCTTTGTGAGATTCATGTGCATTCCCGGCCAGTGGAAACAGCTCAACAGCCTCTTGTTTCCCATCTCACACACCTTCTCCCAACCCGCTTTTTTGATCCTTCATCTACCGTTACTGTGAATGGCATGCTCAGAACCAGGACTTACTGAGGCTCCGAGTTCCCCATTCAGTTCTGAAGCTCTGAACCACAGCCAGCTTCTGGTACATGGGGCCATTTTGCCCAGGGTAGTGGCCCATTCTGTCCCCAGCTTAGCCATTCTGTTCAGGCAGTTCTGGGCTGTTTCAGCTGCCTTTCAGAGCAAGGCAAGGAGATGAGATTGGTTTCTGGACCCATAGGGCCCAACACTCTTTGTATTAATTTTTCCAACTATGCATTTCTGGGAAAAAAATGTAACAAAGTACCTGGTCACACTAGATGTATTTAAACCTACACATATAGGAGAGTGGCTGTGTAGGGGTGTGTAGGAAGAGATGAGGACTTGTGGGCCAGGGTGTCTGTTGAGGTGTACCCACACACAGTGGGAGGCTCTATCTGTGAGGGCCATTGGTATGTGCGTGTGTGGAGTTTTGGACTACGTTGATGTATGTGTACACGGGGTATGGACAAAGACCCTCTGCTTGGCCACACTTCACCCAGGCTCCTGTCCCCCACCCTGCCCCTGAACTTCTCATACAAAAGAAGGAACCTTGCTAAGTCAGGTCAGCAAGCCCCTATTCTGACACTCGAGCATCCCATGTGTTTTTAGGGTGCTCCCTATCTGTTGAGATCAAGTTGTGTCCTGCCATAAGTGACTCTGTATTGTTCAAAACTGGTTTTTGGCTTTGTTGTTGTTTACTTTTTTTTTCTTTTTCTTTTTTTTTTTTTTGGTTTTTCGAGACAAGGTTTCTCTGTGTAACAGAGTCCTAGCTGGTCTTGAACTCACAGAGATCTCCTTGCCTCTTCCTCCAGAGTGCTGGGATTAAAAGTGTGAGCCATCACGCCCAGCTTTTTTTTTTTTTTTTTTTTCAGGCTGTGTGTTGTCCTGAGAGACTCCATTTTATAAGCAGCTTTTGACTCCATTTTGAAGATGGAGGGTGACTATGTGTCTAGGGACACAGGAATGATACTATCTGTCCAGCACCACACAGGAAGTACAGATTAATAAATACCTTATTTCTGGGAGTAGAAAGGGTGCTATCCTAAAATTTTATCAGAGTGAATTGAGACTGTAGGGGCAGATGGACATATTAAATTTACTAAAGAAACCAGACCCAAGAACTCACCAGATATACCAGACCAAGAAAACGGTAGAAATCCCTCATCTAGACTTCATAAAGAGGTAGAGGCCTAGTACAGGGATGGATGGTCATGCCCGCTCCCTGCCCCGAACAGTGTGTATGTGTGTTGTGAAGAACTGACAGTCTGAGAACATCTAACTGTCCCAGGGTTTCTGCTCACTTCGGTGCCCACTGTTGATGTGGCTTGTTCAACTGCCATCCTCCTGTTCCCTTGTTTGGAGCTGCCATTCATCTGTTTACACATTGGTTCATCTGGACCCACCCTGCTGTTCACTTCACTCCTGCAGCTCAGCTCTGACCGCACAGCAGGCCTGACTCCACAGAACCCACTGTGCAGTGTCGCCAGCCTCTGCTCGAGCGCCAGTCTGCTCTTTATCTTATCAATACAGAGACTCTGAGGGCCCTATTGATTTCCCAGCTTTGACTTCTCAGGACTCTTTGAAACTTCCTGCCCCTTTAAACCTTTGTAGCCATTATGTAAGATTCATATATGGATAGAGATAGATGTATTTACTGTGTGGTGTGTGATCTGAGAGTCAATATTAGTAACTAAGATTGGAGTGAAAGAGCTTGTGTTTGCCTCGATCAGGCTATCAAAGAAAGCGGGATTATCTGGCAAATGCTGCCATTGAAAACAGCCTTACCTTGCGAATGTACTGCTGTTAATCAATACATTCTGACATTGTGGAAAGACACAAACATGTTTGCCTTTAGCATATTGAAGACACCACCTGAGCAATGTCTAATCCCCTAGTCTAGTTTCAACAGCATCATGTGACGTTTACTTAGCCAAAGTCCTCTCCCCTGATGTCTCAATCACTGTCCACTCCTGCCCTTTGGTTCCCCTGCCCATTCCAAACTGGCTGATCCCATTCTTTCCACTGCAAGGTGTGCTGCTGTCCCCGTGTTCTATGGTGCTGACAGAACCTTCTCCACTGGATCACAGTCAGGGCCACTGAACAACATGCTGGGCACAGAGCATCTAGATACATCACCACACAGTGTATTTACAGTCCTTTTAGTGCAAGTGTGTGTGTGTGTGTGTGTGTGCGTGCGTGTGTGTGTGTGTGTGTGTGTGTGTGTGTGTGTGTGTGTTGTGTGTGTGTGTGTGTGTTGTGTTGTGTGTGTGTGTGTGTTTCCCAGAGGAACCACAGCAATGTGGATTGGAGTGCACACACATGGGGTCTACACCACTCTCTGTTGAGGTGCACACAGAGATGGAGTCTGTACCACTGTGTGTTGGGGTGCATGCACAGATGAGCATACTGCTCTCTCTTGGGGTGCATTACAGATGGGCTACATGTGCTCTCTGGGGGTTGTCAGTTGCCTTCAGGGGCCTGGTGAGGGCTGACTGTACTCCCTGTTTTTCATTCCGAGCGCTGGCTGTGGCTGCCCTGCCTCCCCAGTCTTCCCGGAGGTGTTTGTGCATAAGCCCCTTCCTCTATGAATACCTCGCTGTGCAGGGCTCCGCGTCTTGATCCAATTTCTGTGATTTATATTTTCCATAATTCTATTTGGTCAGGACTTTCAAATTTATTGCACAGTTGTGTTCTGTGTTCCCTGTAATATAGGAGAACGCTGTTTGCCGAGCTTGCTCCCTCGTGGGAAACGTGCTTTCCTGCATTCCTCTCCCCCCTTGATGTGCTAGCTGGAGCTCCCCCCTCGCCTCCCCCCCTTCGGGGTGTCTGCAACGTCTCCAGGCAGCCAGCCTTCCTCCCTAACCCTCCCAAGGTTGGGCTGTTTCTTCTTTAAACAGTGCTTTGGGCTGCCCAGGCAGCCTTCTAACATGGAGGGCTCTGGTGCAGGGGAGAGAAGGGGTGCCCTAGGAATAAAATGTCTCTGATAAGAACAGCTACAGGGCAAGTTCTGGGGGTACATTAGGGCACAGCACCATGTGCAGTTGAGCCGCAGTTGCTAACAGCAGTAAAATACCCTGAGTCTTCCAGGGCTGTCCTGAGGTGTGCTCGCATGGCGCTCCTGTATGGCAGCACCACCTCTCAACCTCCCTCTGGCCCCTTATGCATGACAGCACATACACAGTAGAGGGGAGTCTGAGAACTTTATTCCCAGACCCCAGAAGGTGAGGGCATTGAGGCAGGATGGGCCCTGAGCTCCAGAAAAAGCCTGGGTGTGAGGGTTGGAGGGTGCAGAGCTGGAATAACCGGCCCTGGCGGGAGTCAGGGGGGACGGTCTCTGCTGCTGCAGCAGCGCACCGCTCGGCTCCTTTACTTCCAGCGCCCACCGACTTTGCCCTTGGCTGTGGCACCAGCCTTCTTGCTGCTGCAAACGGGAAGCAAGTTGTGCTTAAGGTTCAGAAGTGTCCAGCCAGCTAGTGGAGACTTTCAGCTCCGGTTTCCCCAAGCTGTTGCCCCCCACTTCCAGTGCACACACCTCGTTCCAGCCTGAGCAGTAGGAGCTGACTCACCTGCAGTGGGCCTGACAGGGCCTGGGCACTAGTGTGGTTAGGACAGGGTTAGCTGGTTACCTGGGCTCACCTTCTGTTCTCCTGCTTTGGCCAGGGGGAATACTGCAGACAGGCCCATGCCACACTAGCTTTAAACACTATTGGTTTTGAAGTCTGTGCCTTTCTGATGGCAGCTAAGGGTACCTGTCCCCAGGACTTGGGACCTTATTATCTGAGGCCCTCTATACCCCACCAAGCTGGAAGCAGGATGAGTGCTGTATGAGGGTCCAGGTTGGCACGAGGATAAAAGTACATGTGCTCTGAAGCCAGCCCAGTGGGACCTTGGGGTGGTGATGTTGTGTCCTCACAGACCTTCCTGAGAATCCTAACATATGCACACACCCACGTTCACATGCACCTGGCATCTCATCAAATGAGCCTGTCATGACCCTCCAACCCACCCAACAGAGATACAAGCCAATAGCTCCTTCCCTGGAGGAGCACCCATCTCCCCTGAGCATCATGGAAGTGTGGAAGGAGGGAGAAAAGTCCCAAGAAACAGGAAATCTAAGCAGTTCCACTTGATTCTGTCCTTGGAGTGTGACAACCCCATGTCCAGGCTCAGTATCAGACTCCCAGCATTATATCAAACTCAGCACCTGGTGAGGGGTCACTGTAGCAACAGGTCCCTCCAGCTAAAGCACTGGGATCAAAGGAAGGGCCTTGTGCATGCTGGGCAAGCACTCTATCAGGTGAACTATACTCTTACTCCTCATTCCTTTCTTTCCTTAACTGAGATAGGGTTTCACGTAACCCAGCTGGCCTTGAACTCCTGATCCTGCTCCCAACTCTGGAGAGGTATTGGGATTGTAGATATTCATTACCACACCCTGTTACAGGCTTCCTGCTGGCCAGCACATCATAGAGGGGAAGGTATTACTAACAAACTCCATCTGGCACTTCCTGCATGCAGGAGAGGAAGGAGCCAGGGGGTCCTGGGACCCAGTTAGTCTTGTTATTGCTCTGTTAAGGGCCAGCCACCAAGAGCCCTTGTTCAGGGACCAGTTAAAATGTCTAGGCCCTGGGTAGGGTTGCAGGTAGCTGGCTCTGGGGACTCTGGGCCCAGCACAGAGCGAGAATGGGCTGGGCTACTTACTGCTTCTGGGCTTGGTCAATGCGGCTCCTGAGGGTGGTGATCTGTAACAACACAGGTGACTTACTGTGACAGAGACCTGGGAAGCCCAGCTGGGCACTGGCTAGGGGACACGTGTCTTTACCACAGGGCTGGCCAACTGTGGCATCTCCACTGTATCCTCATTGCAGCGACACAGACTCCTGTCCAGTTTCCTTACTGTCTCCTGGCTCCTTTGTGAGAGGTCACTGCTGCTTTCTCCTGGGACTGCGTCTTGACTTGCTCTCTAGCTACCACACACAGCAGCTCCCAACTGGCCACTTACCTTGTGGCTGTGGCAGGATGCAGGCAGGGTAAGGGACAGGGTGGAGGTGAGGCCTCCAGACCTCCCAAAGTTCCACCTCTGACTCCTGATCCCAACCTTCCTGCTCCTTGGCCCATAGTGCCTGCTCCTGATTTGGTGGCCTAGAGGCTCTGGCCCCAAGTGGAGCTCTGGGAAGGCAAGAACCTTGCTTTCTCATCTGCCAACAAGGGCATCAGGCCGGCCTCATAGCCACCAACTGAGGTCAGGAGGGAGGAGTTGTGGCATAAGGAAAAGGCCCTATGCCACCAGTGTCCTCAACAACCCAGATCTTTGCCATGCGAGAGGCTGGCTGAGCATTGCACACCCACAAGCCTGGCTCTGCCTACTCACAACTTGGCCAGCATCTCCACTCTGGCCCGGACAGTCATGATCTAGAAAAATCGAGATGGTTACCAGGTTGGGTGGGCAGCTGAGGCTTCAAGGCCCTGATAAATATGGGGCAAGTCTCCTGATGATCAGCCAGGCTCTGTGAACCCCAGAGACCAGACATGGGCAGAGTGTATCTGGAGGCTATGGGTTCCTGACTCAGATATCGTTGCTAGGAGGGGCCTGGCCTTTGCTTGGTGGCATCTCTGAGCTAGCTCCTGGGATAGCCTTGAGGCTGAGGGATGAGTCTTTCTAGAGATGGCAAACAGTGGAGGTATGGAACCAAGGCTCTCCAAAGTTGAGCAACTAAGACCCATCTCATTTACCCAGAGGTTGCAAGAAAGAGCCAAGAACTTGTAGATCGTCTATCTTGATGGTTGTGGGAGATGCCCCTGCATGAGTTTCCACCTCTCCCTTCACCTGGCACTTGAGGGACATGAGGGGGAGACATGAGTACAGCCTTGCTAGTGAACTCAAGGTGTTTGCATTTGCAGTAAGCACAGCAGACACCAGGACAGGAGCCTTTCCTTGCATCCATGGTGGGTAGGAACAAGCTTGGCTTCTAACTCATCCCCCAAGGCCCTGCCCCATCTCTACAGCCCCTTACCTTAGCTTGCCCTCATACCTATGAAGGTTGTAACTCCATCTCAGATTCCCTGCTCCCCAGAGGAGACACAGTACTAAACTCCCTTTTCCAGTTTCAGGTGAAGGTGTGAGTTACCCTACCAGCCTGCTTGCCTGCCCTGAAGAGGCAGATGTCATGGGGACCTCAGCAGTTTGAGAACCCATAACAGTTCCAGCTACAGCACTGGCCAGTTCAGATGCAGGTCGGGCTGATAGCTCAGGCACTTCCCCTGAAGGACAGTCTCCAGAAGTGGCCCCCAGCTGGGGCTCAGTGGAGCCAGGTCTCAAGGTGAAGGCAAGAGTATAACTGGGCTGTGGGGAGACAGTTGACTTCCCTGGAGAGTGAGACCCCGCAGGCTCAAGAACCAGAGATGGCTAGACTCACATCGTATTTCTGGCGTTTCAGCTTCTCCCCAAACTCAAATTTGTCAGTCTCCAGTTGGTACAGGGTATCCCAGAGTTCCTTGGCCTTGTCCCTGGAAGATGGAAAAGAGGAACTTTGATAGGATGAAACCAGAAAGGCAGGGCCCAAGACCCTGCTTCCGTTTCCCAACCACCACAGAGAGCTGTGGCTCGGTTCTTTTGGGGGGAGGGTCGGGCACCATTTGGGAGGGCCAACCCACCTCAGCTTGTCATCACTAAGATGGTCGATGTTCAGAGGCTTGCGTCTCTCTGCAAGAATCTTCTTCTTCATCTCCCTGGCTGTCTGCTTCTTGCCTCTCTTCTGGTCAGCCTGCAGAGGGGAGAGGTGATCAGGAGCCCAGTCTCAGGAGGCACATGGCACAAAACCCAGCCCCCACTTGAAGGCCACCTTCAGGGCTCTGAGCGTGTTCCTCACCTTGGCCAGGTAGCTGCTGTAGTTGGCACCCATGGAGGACAGGGCCTTTTTCTTCTTCATGTCATCCTCAGCTCTCCTCTTGGCATCTTCTTCCTCTCTTCTGGCCTTCTCCTCCTGTGGAGACCCCACCCCCAAGATCCTCAGGGGCTGCCCTTTGAGCAGGCTTCAAAGACTAGCTCGACTTAGAAACTTCTAGAAGGAGGTTGTTCTTGGGCGGGGTGGGGTGGGGGGAGTTCTGTAGAGCAAGAGGCATTAACCCACTGGCTCTGTTGTTGGCCCAACAGAGGGCCACCATGAAAGGAAGACCCATGATCCTGTGCTTCTCCGGCTGCACAGGCTAGAGGCAGCAGCATGACATTGTCCTTACTGCCAGTCTGTTCTGGCGTTCCCGCTCCTTCTCAGCACGGATTCTTTGCTGCTCAGCTCTTTCCGCACGCCGCTTCTCCTGCAGCCGAGAGGGAAAAATGGTCAGCTTTGCCCTGTCCTGCTCAGTCCCTGCAGGAGCACCCAGCACCCTCCCAGAGCAGCAGTACTCACAATTCTCTCCTTCAGCGCAATCAGTTCCTCCTCCTCCTTCTTTCTAGCTTCAAAGTGGCTGTCGATGAGAGCCTGGAGCTCCATGAGGTCCTTGTTCTGACGCTTTTTCTGAATATCCTGGGGGCAAGAGAGAAGTTTCTACCCCTCCTGGCCAGCCTGAGACCCACTTGCAGCAAGGGGCACCTTCTACCAGGTCTCTACAGCTGCTGCCTTCCTGAGGCCCAGAGTGACCTAGTCTGGACATGCCATGATCAAGATAATGCCCTTCCTATGGAGGAATCCAGGCCCTGACTAATCATGAAGCCAGCACTATCCTTGAGGTGACCTGTCTCAGACTTGGCTCTGTCATCCTCAGAGATGTCCTCTTGGGCCAAACAGAGAGGAGACTGTGAGACTGACTTGCTGTATACATGAATGGGTGTTTGAACAGATAAATGGATAGATGAATGGGTGGATAAAATGATAGACAGTTGAGTGAAAGGATAGGTGGATGAGTGGATGGATGGGTGGGTACAAGGATGGGTGGAGGAGAAGGGAAGGGATCTCCATTTCCTTGGGTCTGTGAGTGAATTATGGGAGTGTGGCCTAGAGATGGACTACCTTGCTTCTGGCTGTTTGGGAAGATACGACCTGAAGCCTAGCCTAGAGTTCAAAGGTTGGAGCTTGGAGTGAGGGTGATCTGGTCCCCATAAACTTACATCGAAGTCTACTTTCTCCCCTTCTGGGATCTTAGGAGCAGTGAGTCTGGGAAAGAGACACAAAGATTATTTCATAAGCAGGGACAACTGGAACCTTCCCACAGTGGAGGCCAGCCAGCCTCGAATCTAGGCTGGCCTCCTCCTCGAATCTAGGCTGGCCTTCTCCTTTTCCTTGCACCCTGGCACCCAACAGAGCATGCCTTCACTAAAGTAGTTTGCCTGGCTCTTTGTTTTGGGGTTTCTAACCCGTGTCCCAGGAATGGTTTGTTCCTTCCTAGAAGGTGTCACCTCTGTTTTGCCCACTGCTTCATGCCACCTTTCTCAGACACATAAACAAATGCAATCAAGCCCTAGCAGAGGGCAGGGTGGCCACCACGAGCCCTCCAGGGGCAGTGACTGGCATCAGCTTCTGGGGTGAGACCTGTCCTGTGGCTCTGGACACTCTTTTAATCTTTCTTTCTGGGCGCCCAAGTGAAGGAAAGCCTGTAAGGGGAAAAGGAGCCCCCAGCCTGCTGGCTGTACGACCCCCTCCTCCTGCCAACACATTCCAGATGGAGCAGGGAGCCCAGACAACCGCGGCTTTGAGAAGCAGGCCACAGAGGAAAGGGGAGCTGAATAGCGATCAAAACCTGGAGAGGGAAGGGATTTTTCTAAGCTCTGAAGCCCCAAAGTTCCCTCCAAGGGAAAGCTGTACAGATGATGCTGTGCAAATGAAAAACTTATGTATGTGGAGGGGGGGGGAAGCAAAAATCAAAATGCAGAGGGGGGAAAAACCAGACTGAAAAAAAAGAAACTTTTCAGCAAATAGAGAGAAGATTTATATCCCTGAGTAAACGGACGATTAAGCAAACACGGAGACGTGTCGGCCATGAGATAAACGAGCAAGGGGCACAAGCCACTGACTCGCAAAGAAAGACGAGCAGTAAGCAAACATGGATAGTTTGTGGTGGTACCATCAGAGGAATGCTAAAGCCACCATGAGATGTGGTTGGCTGTTCATCGACGGGTGAGGGGCAGATGCCCGTTCCCGCCTTTGGGCGCGGAGGGTGTGGGACACAAGACTGCTCACAGCCCACGTTGGAGACCGCCTTGGCTGAGCCCTGGTGGAAAGCAGCTTGGCAGTGACTGTCAAAGCCTTCAGAGCGTTGGTCCTCTTTGACCCAGTAATTCCAGTTCTGGGAATGTGGCCTAGGCAAACAGCCCTCAAGATGGAAAATGCGTTCCGACCAGCATTATTTATGATTGTAAAATATTGGGGGAAGCCTGTGATCGGGGAATGGTTAGGAAAATTATGGTTTGTCCAATTGATGGAATATTATGTGGCCATTCAAAATATTTAAGAAGACTATGTAAAAACATGGAAAAATACTTATGAATAGTGCTAAATTATTTTAAAAGCAGAATTCAAGGCTGTATAGACAGTCCCGTGCTTGAAAAAACATAGTCAAGATCTTTCTTTTCCAAGAACTTTGTGTAGAAAAAGAGCAGGAAGAAATAAAGACCTTTTCCCCCCTCTCTGCTTGCCACAGTCTGACTGGTGGGTGGGTGGGAGAATTATGGATGGATATTTTTCCCTCTTCATTTGACTTTTATGTATTTTCCAAATTTTCTTAATGAGGTGTTTTATTTTCATATTGAGAACATAAATAATTTTCCTAAGATGAGAAACTATCTCACAGTCCTGCATCTCTTTATGTGAACTTGATTTAAAACAGCATTCAAGGGAGGGATATGGGCCAGCTGCACTCTTCACCTAGCTCTCCTCTTCTCTCAGGGATGGGGCAGGAAACGAGGCGAAAGTGTCAAAAGCTCAGCCTGGCTCAGAGTGTGGAACGGGCAGAAAGGCTTAAAGGGACAAAAAGGGGCTTGTATATGGAGGGTTGTGGACTTCCAAGTGCAAGATTCTGGGTTCAACTGCCCCCCGGTGCACTCACAATGAGGAAGGAAGGCCAGGGCAGAACCTCTGCTGAGTGGCTCGCGGGGCGGGGGGTGGGGGTGGAGGTGGGGGGCTCAACCCCTTTTTGGATCAGGTCAATCCAGAGTGGGTTCTCATCTCAAGTAGGAGATTCTCGTCCCTCAAGCCCATTTTTTTTTTTTTTAAATATCTGGAGACCTGGACAGTCTATGGACAGACCTATGCCAACAAAGCCAGGCATGGCAAATATGTGACGCCTTCAGTCCCACTTCTGAGCCTTAGTCCATTGCCAGCGACCTCCTTGACCGTACTGGCTGATGGGGAAGAACCACAACCTACTGTCTTTTATTCAGAGGCCTAGAGGACAGATTTCTGGCAATGCTGGTCCCTATCATCTTCTGCCATTTGGGCTTTTCTCTGGGTCTCTCACCTTGCCCAGTTCTGGCGCGCACACACACACACACACACACACACACACACACACACACACCCCATAGCACTGCCTGGATCCCACACTTACTTGGGTCTTGGTTTCTCCTCTAGTCATGACAGTTAGCATGGGGGGAGGAAGAAAGAGAGATCAAATAAGATAGGATGGTCTTTCCTGCCACAGGAACCCACGGGAACCACCAGGCTGGGGACTTCTACTCAGCCCACCCAGACCCACTCATCTATTCAGAAGCACGAAGCCTGTGAAATTCCCCAGGGGCTCTAAGAAGAACTTAGGGTGCGGGGATGAAGGGAGAAACCATAGCAAGATTTATGTGTCCCTGGAGGGTTGGGAGGGAGGGAAAGGGAGGAAGACAGAGGCCTAGAGGACAGATTTCTGGAAAGTCTGGGACACATCTGGGGTGCTGGCTTATCTCCACTGACCAACCACCTGCCTCTGAGAGGGCAGACGCTTGGCGGATGCACATAAAGCCTCAGCATCTAGAGATCCCATGCCAGGGAGAAAAGGAAGACAGACAGACACATGGACAGATAGAGGGAAAGGGCTAGAGAGTCAGCGACATAGACACTGGGCCATTGGCTCCTCTTGTCTCACACAGGCAGAGCCAGAGCCCTGTGCAGGTGGAGCAAGGGGCTGCAACAGCGGCTGGCAGGCCTTACCTTCCTCCTCCTCCTCCTGCTCCTCTTCCGCGACAGCATCTTCATGGTGTGGGCGCAAGCGCACATGCAAGAAAAAAGCCACGCAGCTGCAGAAGTGCAGAGGCCACACAGCAGCGGTGGCCACATGAACAGCAGAGGCAGGCACGCACAGGGCCCCGTGCCTGAGGGTGGCAGGGCAGCTCCTACACCTTCCCAAAGGCTTGGCCCCCTTCGTGGACCCTTGCTGTCCAGGCTGGCCTCTAACTCTCAATATACCTAAGGTGACTTTGGACTCCTTATCCTCCTGCCTCTACTTCCCAAGTGCTGTGATGACAGATACGCTCTGCCATACCTGGTTTATGCAGCACTGGGACTTGAACCTAGGGATTTATGCATGCTAGGCAAGAAGGCTTGGCTGTGAGTAGAGAGCATGGGGACCTGCCTTGCCCAAAATGCACATGGCGACTGGATCTAGGTTTGGCACTGGGAAGATCCTGAGGCTACTCTACCTTCCAGCTGTCATGGAACCTTCCATTACCCTCTACTACATAGTCTTATACTTGGACACATACTGTGGTTTTTACAGTCACTTTATTTCAAACTCTTTGCAAAAGTCTGTGTTCATAGAGCCTGCTTGAAATCCAGAAATATTTTTGGCTCATCCATGTCTGTGAGTTTTGACAGGTTCAGCCCTTAGGACAGGGGACTCCTGATTCTGAGAACCTGCCCTCTGACCCCTGAGAGGCTTTTTCCCATGAGTCTTGGAGGGGCCTCTCTTCTTTCCCTTCTTTAGAACCTTGCCTAAGCTGGTTGCCATGAGGAAGGGCTGCTTCCTCGGAGTGTGACCCACTCTCGCAGAGGATGGGGCTGGTTCTGATCGCAGTCGGGGCCTGCAGCTGCTCAGCATTACCCTCCCTTGCACCATCCTTTAGTCCTGCTCTGCCTGGAACCCAGTCAGGCCCAGCAGGGGAAGCATTGGCGACTCCTAGCACCTTTGAACTTGGGCTGTAGCCAACAGGCCCCATCCAAAGTTTGGGTGGCGGTCTTGCCTGCAGGTTCTGACCAGTGCCCTTCTGCGACACCTATTTCTCACCCCTCCAAAAGACACATGGTGACTTAACCACCAAAGCATGTGCCATCACTGCCTGAATAGGCAGCTTAGATCTGCTGGTAAGCCTGATGCCACTCTTGCCTAAGATCTTAGGAGTGGCTGTCCAGGTCGCTATGGGGTGCTGCAGAGCTATTCTTGCATGAGGTCCAGGGGAGTGGCCTGGGGAAGGAAGTTAAGGGTCTCACCCTCCCCTTATGAGATTCTGGGGATGGGGAGGATGGGGTGCTCCCTGGAGTTGCATAAGAGGCAGCTGCATAGTGGTAAGGTGAGGTTTCCCCTGTGCGCTGTCTCCCCACCCTCCTGTCCGTCCATTTGTCTGCCAGTCAATCTCAGTTCTGGTCCGAGGGAGGCCTGGAGACCTAAGATGTGTGGCCTGAGGACATCCTGGGTCCTTCTCCTAACATTATCCAGGCGCTTCCTCTCGGGCCCAGCCACCAGGAGCCTGCAAGCGTGTAAACGGAGGGGCTGAAATGGGCTCCCCGAGTTCGGCCCCTCCTCCCTGCCCCAGTGTAACCTGCCTTGCTGCTAGGCTGACAGTTGCCCTCCCCCCCAACACAACCTCTGTCATTTCTGCTTGATGGGTGTGTCTGGCTCAGGCCCAGGCGCTGGGTGGGATGCTGGGATCTGACTGATTGCCTCTTCGCATGCATGGCCCCCGGCTGTTCCAGGTCTCTGACATCCCCACCTTGGGCCTCAGCCTGACTTTCCGCTTCACCCCACTTGCCCCTCCACCCTCCCTTCAGCCTCACCCCTCCTTACGTTCCTCCCTTTGGCTTGATATCTGGGGTAGGTTGGAGACTACCTATCCAGCCTCTCTGCTTTGGTCTACCTATCCTAATGAGGCCCCAGAGGGTCCCAGGGGATCCCTAGCACCATTTTCTTAAGGCTTGCTCAGTAGCCCCAGGATAGCCCATATGTTCCATTCAATCTTCCAGATGGAGGTCCAAGCAGAGCCTTTTGACTCTTTGCCCTTAAACACT